GTTGAACTGAAATCCTTGGGGAGTGTGGGGAGTGCCTATAAATATGCCATCTGCTCAGAGGGGTTTTTTTTTTTTTTTTTCTTTTTCTTTTTTGCCAGACAGCGGAGTTCACACCACCTTCCCACAACTGCAGACCAAAATAGCTTCTTTGGGTCTGCCTAATGCTGACTGCTAAGGAGCCCAGTTTCCTGACAACTGGGGCACCTCAGGACCACTTGGCTTTTTACAAGGGGATTCCATTGCCTTTGGGTGTTTTATGCAGTTCGGATGGAGATAAATGTTTAATGCTTGAAAGAATCTTAGAGATAAGCCAACCCACTCTCTAACTATATGGAAACAGATGCAGACAGACACATAGAAAAGGAGGCAGGAAACAAATAGTGCCAGAAAGATACTGTGTTAGATTTTTCAATGAGTTTTGTCATTAATTTTTTTACAACAAGTTTTTAAAGTGGAGAACATTACATCCATTTGTGTAGATAAGGATGTTGAAAGTCAGAAAATTAATTTGCAGAGTCATTCAGTTAACAGGTAGTGGATCCAGGATTGTAGCTAGATTCTCATAAAAAGAACAATATTAACTTATCCTTTATTAAGCGCTTACCATGTGTTGGGCATAGTTCCAAACATCCTATTTGTATAAACTTACGTAAAATCACCACAAAAACCCTGAGGTCGTTGGTAGTATTATGCTCTTTTGACAGGGGAAACTTAGGTACAGAAGACTAGAAATGTGCCTGAATATCGCCCAGTCAGTAGATGGAGAAACTTTTGCCTCCAAAGGTCTCACTGGAATCAAGTACCCCAGAGAGACTGGAAGCAGGGGAAGTACTTAATGTCCAAGTAAGAGATAAACAGGCCTGAAATTAGGGTTGGGAGGAAGGGACATATTTAAGAAGCACTCCTGATGATCTCTGGATATCTGTCTGGGTGGGAAGTGGGGGAGCAAGCATGAGATAGAGGAACTAAAAATAACTGCATTTGCTTGCTTGAGAACTAAGTACATGGTGACACCATTAACTAGACCTAGAATGAAGACAAACTGGCATTGTCTTTATGTTCTATATTCCATAGATGGGCATTTAGCTTTTTCCCCAGCTTAACCTTGAAACATAAGAGGCTGGGTAGCTCAGCTGCTTAGAGTGTCATCTCAATACGCCAAGGTTGTGGGTCAGGGAACATACGAGGATCAACTGATGAACGCATCAATAAGTGGAACAACAGATCAATGTTTCTCTCTCTCCCCCCTTCCTTTCTCCTCTTATAAAATAGTTAATAAAAAAAGAAATGTTAAGAGGAAGAATCATGTTTGTCTTCTACATAGAGATGTATTGATTGATAGATTATAAGACTTTCAGCAGAATTTGGAACATTGTCCGCTTGATTTCCCATCTGAGCACAGTGAAGTACTAAGTACATATGCAGCTTTAGGATGCAACGAATATAATTCTATACTTGGTTAATTCCTTATTTGAGAATTATTCCCTGGTATCTATATGGATTGGCTGTCAAGGACACCATGATGAAGAAGACAGAACCAGTCCATGCCTTCAGGGATCTTCTATTCAGGCAAGGAGCATAGACAATAAGTAAGGAATCAAAAATCAGATGGTGAAAAAACATAAAGTGCTGTGGTGCATAATGGTGCAGGGCCCAGGTGATTTTTGTAGCTTGCTCTGAATGTCACTATATTCTGGGCAAGAGTGCGTGAAGACAGAAATAAAAGCAGAAAGGCTGGTTACAAGGGCCAGAGGCAAAGGGTGGTGATGGCTTAAATAAAGGTGTGATGCAGGCAAAGGGAAGAGGGTAGAAATTGGAATATATTAGGGGGATAGCTGGCAGACTTGCTGATGGAGAGGGATGGAGAGGAAGAAAGGGGGAAATCAAAGATGACACCTAGATTTCTAATTTAAACAACTAGGTAAATAGTGCTACTATTTACCATTATCTTGGCAACTGGAAGAGAAATTACTTTTGAAGGAAAATAGTGGTCAGACACATGTATGTATATGCATATATGAGTATGATGGCAACTCTTACCGAACAGTGCTCTGGGCTGGGGATTTAAAAGCCTGATTTGTGTCTTAATGTCATCAGTAAGAGCAATAACTTCTCTACACCTCATTTTTTCCCATCTGCAACATGGGGATGATTATATCTGTCTTTGCTGCTTCAGAGGGATGCTGAGAAGATAAATGAGATAACGTATATGAAAGTACTTTGAAGTCTTGGGAGGATTAAAAACTGTGTAAATTCAAGCTATCATTATTATGCACAGGGTGTGTTTATATTTTTATGTACCTACTAAAAGTCACACGGGCCATCAGTATATCATGCTTACATTCTTTCCTTCATGCTCAGTTCTCAGAAATGGCAAGATGAACATCCCATTCCCCAATTGTCCCTTCACCTATATCATCTTCTCTTGACAGGATTTTGCAGTTAAGAGTATTGTCTCAATTATTTTTTAAGATGCTGGGTAAAAAAGGGTTTTTTTGTTTTGTTTTGTTTTGCTTTCCCAGTATAACTCAGCCTGGGTAATTCTTGGCAGATAATGCTAATGGTGGTACATCTTCTCTAACAGAGCTGTACAGATGACAGAGAACCAGTAAGTTGTCTCATTGAATCCCCCAACAGCAGTCTAAGAAAGGTATTATTTTTTCACCATTTGACAAAGGGAAGATGGCTCAAGAGGTTAAAGTAATTTGCCTATAACTTCATTTTACAGCTGGAGTGATTAAGGCTAATGAAAGAGCGGTGTTCTGAAAAATAGCATGAACTAGCACTAGGGAAGCCATGTCCCAGATGATATTCAAGGATGTGTGTACAAGCTCCTTTGATCTCTGTAATCTTGGGCACACCGTCTTCAGGTCTTTGACAATAGGTGCCTCTACTGATTTTCTTGCCTAGGGTCTCAAGAGCTGTACCATATATCACCCACGGCCTTGTGCTGATGTTCTTTCTAAATACAAACAAAAAAAAAATAGGAACAAAACAAAAATTGTCCCTTGCTGGACAATTTTTAACAGTATAGACTAACAGTATGGGTTTTCCCTTTCCCTTGGGAGGAGATACAGTGCACTCAGTTTTGTCTTTGGAATGGTAGGAAGAAAACTGGACTTGGAATCCAAAATTACTTATTGTGTGACCTGGGGATGAAGTGAACATATTCGAGCTTCAGTTTTAATATGTGTAAACTGCATATACTAATATTTATCTTTTTACTGGTTGTAAACTTCTAGTTAGCTTCACCTTCGTTTGCAAGGTCCCGGGAGCACAAGCACGGGGGCTGAGTAGTCACTTTCCGAGTGCCTTGTTTGTAGATTACTGGACTACAAATTCTCTGTCCTGTACATTTCCTTCCTTGTCTTTCTCAGCAGAAATGCACGTGTATTTGCTCACTTCTAATGGAGGGGAAGTGGGCTATTATTGCTGGTATTCATACAGTATGACTCTCAGCATATTAATCTATTTAAAACAAAGCTAAAGAGGAATTACATGCAGGGTTGCATGAGGATTGAATTAATCCATGTAAAATGGTTAGCACAGTGATTCGCATACAGTGAATGACTGACAATTTTTAGCTGCTACAATTTTTCTTTCTTTTTTAAAAATTAAATTAATTTATTTACTTTTTAAATACATTTGTCTCTGCCTTCCCCCCACCTCTTTCCCTTGCCCCCTCCCACCTTCCCTCCCTCAGCTCTTCCTAATTTTTCTTACTTAGGTGATTCTCATTGGTCTCGAATGGTTTAGCTGTGGCCCTGTCTGGAGAGTAGGGACTAATCTGACTCCCTTTAAAAATGTCAGCCTGGTTGGTGGCCACGTAGAGCTTTCTTACATAATATCTGTAACATTTTCCCTTATTTTTGCCTAGTTTCTGCACACCTAGGAAAAGTATCTGGATAACTTTTGTAAGTTGATGGTAGATGCCAACAGAATTAACAACGACGTTGAGACCAGTGACAAAATTTTAACTTGTTTTTCCCTCTGAATCGAGTCTGAAAAGCAACCCTAAACCTGTGGACAACTTGTTTTTCAAAACTGCGTTTCAGAGTTTACAGGTGTGTGCCCGGGGCAACCAAAACAAAGATTACAGGGATGGTTATGGCTGCCTCCCAGGCTCAGATAAAGAGGCGCCTCTCAGTTAGCTTTCCGTGCCAGCTCACCTGAGGTCAGACTTTGAATTTTCCTCACTTACTGCAGGTAGAACAGGGCCTCCCAAGGCTGCGTTTTGAACCCACACTCAGGTTTTCCCAGCTTCTCTCCCTTCCCGTTCTGAGTCTCTGGGTCAGCAATCCTCCCTGCTTGGTCGGGTATGTGTCCCGGGGGAGGTAGCGTGGTGCCTGGATGGGGGCCAACGCGGTGGGGGGAGGCGGCAATACCGGAAGGCCATGGCCCAGGAAATCGGCGGGTGGACACCTGCCGTGGGACTGTTCCCCCGACTGATTCAACAGGCCTCCCTCGGACCTAAGGGGTAACGTATTTGGCTCTAACCCAACACAGTGTCTCTTCAAGGCTGGGCGAACAGAAGCCTATCAGAGTGCGATCAGTTTCCGCCGGGGCTGCTCCCGCCCTTTCACGGGACCCAGCCCCTCCCGCGCCGCCGGGAAGGCGGGGGGACACAACCGGTCCCTGCCCCTTGGCCCCTTTCTCCTTTATTCAGCCGCCACTCCCAAGGCTCTCCCCTCCGGTGGATTCATTTTAGGGGCATGTATCCGCAAACCTGCCTTTTCACAGCCCCCTGAAGTCCCCGTTTCCCAGACTCTCGGCTCTCGCAGCGCCCTCTTGCTCCACCGCCCCCGTCGTGCCCTCGGGGCCGCGGGGGCCGCGCGCAGGTACCTAAGCGCTGGGAGGAGGGCGCGGCGGCCGCGCGGTTCCCGGAGGTGCGGCGGCCGCTCCGGGGGGAGGCGCTGTGGTGCTGGGCGGCCCCTCGCGCCCCGGGCGCTGGCTGCGGCTCAGCCTCCTTCTCCTCCTCCTCCTCCGCTTCCTCCGCCCTCCTTGGCTGGGAAAGTGGGAGGTGGCGGCGGCGTGTGTGTGCGCGCGTGAGGGGGCCAGCGGAGAGGAGTCTCCGGTGCGGCCGCCGCGTCAGAGACATTGCGAGCCGCGAGCGCCGCGGGGCCGCATCCGCATCGGCCGCAGCCACCGCTGCGGGGCCGCGAACAAAGAGGAGGAACCGAGGCGCGAGGTAGGTCGCGGGGACCGGAGCGGGCAGAGCCTCACGGCGCAGAAATCGGTGGTCGGGGCGTCCCCTTCTCCTTCCGTCCGCGCTGCTCACGCTCTCCGTCCCCAACCCTCGGGTCCCCGTGGGCCCGGGGCCGGGACCTGCGGGAGCGGAGCCCGCGGCCTCGCAGCCTTCTCCCGGCAGGAAGCTGCCCGGGCTCCGTGCCGAAGTCTCCGGCGCAGCCCAGCTACCCCCCCGCTGGCTGCGTGTCTCGGGGGACTCCCGCCTCCTCTCTGCGGGGTGATAGCTGTTCCCCGGTGGCACTTTGTGGGGCAGACTTTAGCAACTTAAGGGTTCGAATTTATTTCTAAGTCCTTGAAAACTTCCAGCTGGGGGATTTGGTGCCCGGCCTGACTCTAAGGGAGGCGGAGATGCGGCTGTTGAATGAGATCCCCATTCGGACACCGGCCGGGCCGCAGCCCCAACGGGGCACCCTCCCCTGCCGGTGCCCGCGACACCTGGCCCCGGGGTGTGTCTGCGACGCGCCGCCGCGCCTCCCCGCGGGTCTGGAGTACCTGTGCTGGGCAGCGTGGGAGAAGGGCGCAGCCCGGGGCTCCCCCCGCCGCGACTCTGTCAAGAACAGCTGTTAGCACTCCCAGCAAAACCTTTTAAAACCTTTTCACCCTCCTCCCCATCCTAGGCTTTCACTTATATTCATTTTGGTGGTGGTGGGAGAGCGGCGCAGTCGCTGGTTTAAAGGCTTTTTTCTGAATGGTCCCATTTTCGTATGCCCAGTTTTCCGTCCAGCATTCCATTGTCAAATTCTTTTTGTGAAAAAATTGCCAGATTTTCTGAATGGGATTAGGACAGGCCGTTCAGAAATCCGTTTCTGAGTGTGTCGAGCACTGCTTCTATATTTCAGCTGCTTTCAAGCAGGTCTTTAGTTGTGTCCTTTAGAATTGTCACAACCTTCAGCTCATATTGGTTGGGCAAGATTAAACAGTTCTATTTTTAAGGCCAGTGAAGAAACATATGTATTTAATATTGGGATCATTTACCACAAGTGATCACATGAGGCATGGTTTTTCTTAAACACTAAAATTGGGAATTTTGTTGGATTTAAAAATAATTTCAGGTGGAGGAAACTTTCAGTTGCTTCTGTTCAGCTTCTCATATGAGTTGAGGACTATTAAGGCAGCTAATATCACTTTGAGAGCTGAAGAAATTATGGTCTTTATTGCATTTCATAAATCCTATTTATTGCAGGAATCCTGTATAGTACTTCATGGCTGTTTCTGCACAGTAAACTCCTAAATATTGCTGGGGATTAATTTTGAATTGTTTTAAGAAGCCTGTTTTGTTCTTAATTTTTGACTTTGGAGTTCAGGAACCACATTCCAAAGCAAAGCTACACTGTTCAGAGGAAGCACTTTTGTGTACTTTTTGCTTCTTGGCTCCTCTGAACCTTTTCCCCAGAGAACGATACTAATTTTTTTGTCTTTTCTCCTTCTCCCCCGTGACTCCAGAGAGAAGTCTGAAATGGATGTTACATGAATCACTTTAAGGGCAGCGTACAACTATGAATATTTCTGAAGCTTTTTCTCAGTAAACTAGATAAAGATGGATGAATCTGCCTTGCTGGATCTTCTGGAGTGTCCTGTGTGTCTAGAGCGGCTCGATGCTTCTGCCAAGGTTTTGCCCTGCCAACACACGTTTTGCAAACGATGTTTGCTGGGGATTGTAGGTTCCCGAAATGAACTCAGATGCCCCGAGTGCCGGACTCTCGTTGGCTCGGGTGTTGAGGAACTTCCAAGTAACATCCTGCTGGTCAGACTTCTGGATGGTATCAAGCAGAGGCCTTGGAAGCCTGGCCCTGGTGGGGGCAGCGGGACGAACTGCACAAATGCTTTGAGAGTTCAGAGCAGCTCTATGGCTAACTGCAGCTCAAAAGACCTGCAGAGCTCCCAGAGCGGACAGCAGCCACGGGTGCAAGCCTGGAGCCCCCCAGTGAGGGTGAGTAGCCTGCGGAGCATTTTGATGAATCACGGTGGTAATGACCATATTTTTTTTCTTTATTCTTTAACTTGACGTTTTCTAAATCAGCTTATTGCTAAAGAAGCCACACTTACCATAACAGAGAGGAAATAATGTTTCAGGATATTTTCGTCCCCTTTTGGAATGAGATTGGATATAAATAATACATTTTCTTGTTTTTATATTTTCTCCAGACAGTCTCTATTATCTTTTAAAATAAATTTTGGGAAACGCGTAGACATTCAATGAAATGTACCACACAGCAGTTTTTTTGTGCCCACTTGAAAATGAAAATTTGTTACCATTTTACCATTTTGATGATTTTCGGGAGAGCCATATTTCTGTATGAATATGTGCATTTGTGTATACATGTTATGGATATGTGTGTGGGTAAATCCTAAGTAGGAAGCCAAGCCTTAATTTTTATGCTGCTTACAGCCATTCTATTGGTTTTATGAATGCACAGCACAGAATTTACTGGTTGGAGGAATTCTTAACAAATCGTGGCCACAGGTAGCCGAGTTTTGTTGCTGTAGCAACGAAATGTCATTTAGGACTATGCTAAAGAGCTAGAGAATCTGGCTTGCTGTTGGATTTTACAGGGAGTGAAATGAAACATTCCATTAAAATGATTTTTCTTGGGTTTTGGATTTGGGCTGAAATAATTTTAAGTGAAGCTAAATATTTAGACAGTTAATACCACTTAAATTTCTAGAAGGAAAGGTATTCTGAACAAATCTGAATTTATGTTGTGGGTGACAGCACACACAATAAGACCTGCTTTTCTCATCTTTGTGAAAATAAAAATTAGTTATGGACCTCAGGTAATTATAACAATTCCATTTGTGTTGGAAAAAACAATTTTGATAATTGGCCAAACTGATAAAATATGTTTTTAAAGAACAGCTAATCTGGATGAGAATATATAGTTTTCAGATATTCACAGTACACACACACACACACACACACACACACACACACACAACTGGCTTCTTTTGTTTAATGCAGGAACAACCCTTTGGGACAGCGTTAGGCAGTATAAATTCACGCTTGTGACTGCCAGATAACTAGAACAGACTAGCAGCCCTATGATCGTTCCTTTACTTCCTTCTCAAGTCATCTTTTAAAATGATATGAAAGTGTTTACATCACTAGATGTAAAGTATGCAAAGCATTTTAATCACTAGAAAACAGTGTCATCACTAGGCTAATCAGATTTTTTTTGAATCATATTTAATAAAAAAAAATTTTTAAGACAGCAACAACCTTGGCTTAGGGAGGTTTTCTTTCCATATTTGAAGCCCACATGCTGTAAAATGGATCTGCTTATAGCACTTTTCTTAGACTTCCTTTATTTTACAGAGATTATGGGTACCTTGGTTAGTGAATATGTACTTATCAATGTTTTAACCGCAGAATCAGTGATCTGGTTGATCATTTCTGAGACACCTGACCCAGGTCTGCTTAGCTAACTAGGGAGTAGATTTTGCTTCTTTGGAGAGATTTTGTTTCCTTGTTAATTAGACTAGAGAAGGCACACATTCTGGCTATGAATAGAAGTATCTTAGTGGTTGACAGATCTCCTTACCTGTTGTGAGAAATACATTGAAGGCTTGATTCCTGATCAAAAGGAATTTAACAAGAGGGCTCAAGCATTCAAATGAACATTTTCTTTCTAACAGAAATTGACCATGACATGCTTGCTGCAGTGTTCATTTATTTGAACTGCTGAGCTACCAAAATTGCATTTCACTTCTCTTAGGTAAATTTTTGTGAAATTTTGATGATGTTAGTATTATTTTCCTAATTTATTTCATGTTTTTTTTCTTTAGCATGAGAAAAACTACTCACCAAGAAGGGCAACTGAACTTCAGCCCTATAACTTGGATAAAACACGTGGGGTCTATAAAACAGGAGATGGTGTCTGCTACGTGGGGGGTGGCACAGAGCGCGGAGGACAAAACGGCCAGATTTCTCAGTTGTCTGAGTTGATGCATATGCTGCAGTTCTTACAAAAGGAATAGTTTTTTTCGTAGCCTAAAATAATTTCTCATTAGCAATTACTAGTACCTTTTATTTTCAAGTATTCAAAACAGCCAGGGCTACACACATAGGCCGAGCATGCGGAAAGGAAAAACACTTCAGAAAATCCTTCCTTTAAAAAGTAAGAAACCTGTAAGGTACAGTCAGGCGGAGGTTGTAATGCGCTCCTTCGGACACTTCCCTGAGGTGAGTGGCCATAATAAATCCCAAACGTGCATCCTCCTCCCTTAGATGTTCTGACACGACCAAGCAGTGCATGAGCCTGTTTCCACATGTTGCGCGAAGCTGAAAGTGATAACATGTGGAATGTTGCTTCAGTTTATTAGTTATGTTCTATGATCCGTTAGATTGTGACCATGTGGCTTCCTCATGTGTTTAGCCGAGGTAGATTGAGTGTTATCAGCAGATACGAACATTTCCAATGTGTGACACACATCTTGTTCCCAGAATTTTAGTGTTTCCTGTCTAATATGAAGAAGAAAATGAAAAAGTGTTGGGTTGGAGTCACCAAGGGAATCCGTCAGTTCTTTACCCCAAGAATTGCTGTTGGTTTTAAGCCAAAGTCAAGCAGTGGAATGAGTCACAGGGAGAGGGTGCCTGTAGATATCTGTTTAATGGACCAAAAAACACCTGCAGAAGATAGATTTCATATATATGCAAAATGAGATATGGAAAGCATATTTAAGTAATTCCTATAGATTACAGCCGAATAGGACAGCTAAATTTCTGCTTTCTATGTGTGGTCCCATTGTTCAGGATCTGCATCTGTACCTGTATCTAAGTATTATTGCTTAATGATTTCACACTGACTTTTTTTTGCTGAAAAAAAAATAAGTTTTTTCAGCAAAAATATATCATACAACTATTGATTTACACAGCACTTATTCTTTTTTTAATTTAACAAATATTTGCTGAGCCCTTAGATGCCAGGCACTGCTTTGGCTGCTGGATAGATAATGATGGACGAACAAGATACAGATTCTGGGGATTCTGGTGATGAGTTTATGAGTTACCTATCAGTATCGTAAGAGGGATACATAATAACAATAACAATGAGGTAGGTGTCAATGATAGAGAACTAGGGGAGAGGCTAGGAGAGGGACTGGTGTTAAGTGGGAGGTAAATTGCATGTGTATGTCTGTGTGTGTAATCTTCAAAAGTTTCCTTGAAGAGGAGGCATTTGAACTGAGTCTGAAGGGCGAAATGATATTGTTAGTTGAAATGGGACTGGGCAGGCAGAGGGGCAGAGGGGACGAGTATTGCAAAGGCCCTGACCTACAGTGGGACAGGGCGTGGCTCCTAGAAAGAGCTAATGAAAGGCGAATGTGAACTAAGCAAGGGACAGGATAGTGGCCTAAAACGAGGCCTCAAGTGCAGTAATGTGCAAGGCATCGAGAGCCACCACAAGGCACCCTGGCTGGTGTGGCTCAGTGGGTTGGGTGTCGTCTTGCTAACTGAAGGGTCACCAGTTCAACTCCTGCTTAGAGCTCATGCCTGAGTTGCAGGCCAGGTACCAGGCTGGGGGCATGCGAGAGGTAACCGATAGATGTTTCTCTCCCTCACTTTCTCTGTATTTCCCCACCTCTCTGAAAATAAATGAATAAAATCTTTTTTAAAAAAAAGGCCACATGGGGTTCAGGGCCAGATGAGTGGTAGAGCTAGTAAGGGCTCTGCATTTGGAATGAGTAAGACAGATCATAAGGGCTGAGATGATCAGCAAGGCTTCAGGATGGAAACGGAGCTTGATGTCAACGCACTGAGAGACAGGAAAGGCAGGGCATTCTGGACACGGTGGAACACAGGTACAGCTTCCTCTTTCCTGTGAATGCCGACTATGCTTCAGTTTCTCCAGTCACACCCACACCTCCTTTCTCTCCGTCTCCCTATTGCTGGCTGTTATAGGCTGAATCATCCCCCCCCCCCCCAAATTCTTCAGTTGAAGTCCCATCCCCCAGGACCTCAGAATGTATCTGTATCTGGGGGTAGCACCCTTGAAGAGGTGCTGAAGGCAAAACGAGTGTATATGGATGGTGCCTAATCCACAACATGAGTGTTATCCTTATAAGAGGAGGAGATTAAGACACAGACGCAGAAGGAAGACCATACGAAGGCACATGGTGAGGGTGGTCATCTACAAGTCAAGGAGAGAGGAATCCAAAAGAACCCAACGCTGCCGGCACCTTCGTCTGAGACTCCTGGCCTCCAACACGGAGGAGGTGTCTGTGGCTAAAGCCACCTTGCCTGTGGGATTTTGTTATGGCCACCCCAGCAAAGTAATACACTCACTAGGGGCCTCTCTGTCCACTGCCAGCCTCGGTTTCTCCATAGACTTACCTTGGCCCAGCCCAGCTGTGCTCTTTATTCCCGAGGTGCAATAACCTTGAGAAATTGTGACACAGGTTAACAAATGTCAACAGGTGCCACTGGATCGTGTGTTCACCACCCAAGTCAAGTGAAGGCTGTGCATCACCGTTTACTTCCCATGCCCTCCTCTGACCGCCCCCCCCCCCCCCGGAAATCTCCACACTATTGTCCATGACCGTGAGTTTCCCTCCTGTGAGGACACCAGTCATGGAATAGGGCTCACCCTAATCTAATAGGACTTCATCTTAACTTGATTATATCTGCTAGACACTGTTTCCAAATAAGGTCACGTTCATACACATGGGGAGGGGGGGGCGTGGTTTAGACTTGAACTTAGATCTCTTTGGCGGACACAGTTCAGCCCATAACAGAATGAGTGAATGTGTGAATGAATCCATGAGAGAGTGTGAATGAGCGATGCGAATTCTAATCACCCTGTAAGGATCCTTAGCTGGACACGTTCTCAACAACTGATATGTACTTAATCCCTTCCTTTGTGCTGTTCCCTCACAATCTGTATCCCTACTTATAGGTTGTTTTGTGGGTAAATGCAAGAATTGATGAGCAAACAT